ATACGCGTTTTGTACTGCTGTTACACAGTAGAAAACGCATAAAAAACAGACGACTTACGTCATCGGTGCCTTCAGTGCTCTGCACATCCTGAAACGACGCACTCTCCAAGACGGCTCGCGGACGTGACGGCGCGCCGTCCGCATCCTGATCGGCAACCGGCCCATCCGAAGACTCCATCACCACCGAATTCACACACTCATTGCGGAAAACGACGATGCTCTGGCCAGTCAACGGTAACACAGTTTGAAATAATTAGCAGACGCGGGTCAACCGACGACTTGCCAAAAGCACGCCTTGCGCGCTCACTGACCACAGTGCAACAGCTTCGTTCCTTTTGAAGCAGCTGCTCGTGCCGTGGCACAAATTTGAATTTTTCAACGAATGGGGGGGAGGGGGAAGGGGAGGGGAAGGGAGGGGAGGGGTACGTGGTGTTGATCTTTTGAATTATACTTCTGATCAAATCAACTGCGTTCCAAGTCGAAAGATAAATTTCTTATTTTCACACCAAACACAAAAACACAGCCTTTACGTGACTTAAATAATACAGCTTTCGAATCCAAATCACAACCACCCCACACAAGATTTCCTTCGACAGCCCTGACAGCCGTCTACTTTCTTCTTTTCTGACGAAAACCACCTTTCGGCTTCGCAGTCCTCTCGAAGCCTCTTCCAGTCGCTGCCGCTCGTCAGCGCTCCTTCTTTTTTCAATGAACACCTTTCCTACCTCAGGAGTTTGAAATCCTTGATCCCTTTTTATATATTTTTACATATAAACACAAAAGAACAAAATACAGCATTCGAGAACAGATTTTATCTAACACTTTTCGTGTTTTGACACGACACGTGGTGTCACGATTAACGCGCTACGATCTGGGGGAATTCGCAGGTGCGAGACGGATCAGTTCGTCATCCATAACTTTGTACAAAGTGACCCCACTCGAGACAGTTATTGCTCCTTCGACTCCTCATTTATAAATCTAAACGAATTTGAAGCTCAGGCCAAATATTTGTCAGGACATGCAGCTTGGCTCCACACAGGCACGATGATTTTTGTTCCTAAGGTGCTGGTATTTTGCTGGCTTCGATGGGTCTGAAGTTGAAATATGCCGCCAAAACGAGAGACACACACGCGTACGCACATTCATAACACAAACAA